AAAAGTGAATAAAACCAACCAACCAACCAAAGAAACAAACAAACAAACAAAAAAACAACACAGATTTTCAGTGCAAGTACAAACTGAGGACTTTCCCAAGGTGCGAAACTTACTAACTGCTGCAATGCCTTGCCACTGGAGACAGAAAACCTCATTATTTCAACAATGGTACATTTTTTTGTTGTTGTTGTTAAATAGTACACTGTAAACCCGGATAAGTTCATTTGACTCAAAGAATTTGAGGAAACTAATTACCTCAAAATTTTTATGTTGATAAAACAATTTCTTTAAGACAAATACACTTAAATATAACGAAAAAATTTGAACTCGATGAACTCTATTTAACTGTATTTGGCTTAAAGACATTGATTTATCAACTTAGAAATTTTGAGGTAATTTCGTCAAATTTGTGGAGTTAAATGAACTTATCCGGGTTCACAGTGTAGCAGTTTCCGGATTATGTGGACAATCCGCCACACAAGTGTCTGTGAATTCGCTGTTACTATAGAAACGCTAGCATATTACCATGAGCGCAGTGATATAAACCTTGCAACCGGAACTGTGAACATTAACCAACATCTTCGGACCAATTGGAATCGCGCACTCAAGAGTGCGGTGGTATAAATATTTGTCATTTATTCCGGTAATTTTTGAAGCAACAAAATACATTTCTTTCTTTTGTCGTTGTTGTTGCACTAGATTGTATAGTTCTTTCCTGTTGTTCTTTGGATTATACTAGACAGCACAATATAGTACAGCAGGCTTTTTTCTTCTCTCTGCAATGTTCACCTCAATGCCTGTATAAATGCTTGCAATTTTAAGTTTTCTAAATATGTGTAATTTTTTATTTTTTTTTATATGGTACAGTGGTTACCAAACAAACAATAAAGTGATGAACTGCTATATCTGTTGGCTTCAGCGAGATGCCTGATTAAATTAGATGGAGCTGGCGGCTCTGATCAGCTGTCAACTCATTAAAAAGCACTTTTCGTTCTTATAGATGTCTTAAGACTGCAGGTGTAGACAGATATATAAATCATAGAGAAGTTTAGACTCTAACTGTGATTATCCATATTCCGCTCATATTAAGCCAATTAAAGCTGATCAGCCTCAGAAAAGGAAAAAAAGCATTTTTCATCAACGAAACCAAATCTCTTGCATCTCAGGTTCACATCCCTGAGACCTTTTCATTTCAAATAAGATCTCAAAGCTCCTTGAGTCAGCTTATTATTCGCCGTGATATAGTGGTTCACCACATCACTGAACCACACGCTTGATCTTAATCTTGTTTGCCACCAGCTAAATGATGTGCCTTACTTTTGTCGTACTTCAGCCTTACACCATGGTTCAAAACGACATATCTGGGAATTTCTAGACCCATTTGACATCTGTTATGCATTTCAATTGGTGAACCGCTTGCTTTTTGAGCTTCTTGGTCATCCAGCAATGTCAAACATTGGATAAACCATTGGAGAACTGAATTTCTGTTGTTGTTGTTTTTTTTTTAACCCGTCCGAGCTTATTTTCAGCTTCTTTATTTGCGTGAGGAAAAAGACTTACTTACTCGAAATCTCATCACTCATGCCCTTCTGATCCCAGGTATCTTGGTATCTTAGAAACAAACTACTGCAAATAATCAGAGCAGCAACTTTAGCTTCTCAAACCTAAACCGTTTTGTGGTTTCAGTAAGCCAGTGGACTTCCTGCTGGGAATAAATATAGGCATCCTCTTGTAATATGAATGGGCCTAGTGCTTTCCATCAAGGTTTCTATGTGTAACACTTTAAAAAAAAATCAAGTCAAGCTTGAAATGAATGATGAATGTATGTTCTATTGGCAGATATTTTTCCATGTTCTCATTTGAAACATTCATTTCCAGAAAGAAGTGAAATGATCTAATAATAGAATTTAAATCAATGTCAATCTTGAGCTGAGTAAAAGCATTTCAGACTGACTCGTGCTGCTCATAATCATGGCTTTTGGTGTATGTTGGGGACCTTATCCTATTGTCATAATCCTGATACTGTATCATTATAACGGGGATTACACTTTTTTTTTTTTAATCGAGCTTGAAATTAATGTTTAATGTTCTAAACATTTAATAACATGAATAATGTTATATTTGATGTATTACAGTACACAAGGCTAAATTTGATGCTATTATTTATATATGATAGATGATAGATCGTAATAGATTGATAGAAATTATATCCATATATATAGAGACTGTACAGTAAATGTAAGAAATTGTGATTTCCTCATAAAGGCCCAATTTAAAGGAAACAGATACTAGAGTTGAGCACATGCTCATACACATCATAGTGAAACCACAAACAATGGATCTGAGAGTCAACCAGAGAAGAATGATGACGAAAGTGAAACTGATTATGCCACCAAGGGTAGACATTCTGAATTCTGAATAACGAATCTTAATGTACTATTACACAGTTAACTTCGGCTACTGTTGTGCAGTAGATGGCAGCAGTGGTCTGAACCATTTGGAGCCCCCGTGGTTGCTCAGGTTTAGAGCAAGTCCATGCTGAGCCGTTTCCAATACATGACGACTGTTTTACCGGCACTGTATTGCATGTGAAAGTGGCCTGAGCACAAAAAAAAAAAACATGTGGCTCAGGTCAATGGACATCTGGCATTATGATTAAAAATGCAGTGGGTGGAAGTCCTAATGAGAAAACCCTCGGTTTAGTGTGGAGAAAAAAATAATCAATAAACAACACAGATATGTAAGACAATAGGAATTCAATATGATTTTTTTTTTCATATTGTGCAAATGTAACTTTGAACTCAATTCACAACTAGATGAAATGTGCGTTTTATTAATTGCTACCTCAGACTTGAAATGAAAAAAGTGTTATATATTTTGAAAAGAAACCTAATCATCGTATCATAAATCTTATCATCGGCTCAGCCTTAAAATCAATTTTCAAACAATTTATTTGATTGATTTATTTATTTTTTTAAATAAGGCATTCAGATTAATTACCAGCAGGAAAGACTGTTTATAGCTGCTGTAACATAAGTGAGAACAGGAACTAACTTTCCTCTAACTACAAACATCTAAAATTATAATGTATACAATTATGATCATCATGTTAATAAAATGTAAATATGTCATGGTTGGCAAATTGTTGTCTTATAAGATGAATAAAAACATGTCCGAATACGCTGTTAGTGAAAAAGAATCAACTTCGGGGTCGTAACAGTAACTGTTTCACGACACCACTACATCATTGATTATTTTCCTAAAACATATAGTATAAATTAAATGCAGTACCTTTGTTGGTACTTAGTTAGTAGTAGTTTAAAATCTCCACCAATGTAGCATTTCCTTTTAAAAAGCCGACCCTGAATCTACGCAGTCCCATGGGCCTGCTCAGACTCCACTTTGAGAACCGTGGCTCTGTGTAACATACTCAAACCAAGAGCTTTGTCATTTCGTTAAAATCTTGTGTGTATTTTAAAACAACAAAAGTGAAAGTATAGTGTATTACTTTGAATAGAATTTTAATACATTTACTGGACATGGGGCATGGTGGCTTAGTGTTTAACATGTTTGCCTCGCATCTCTGGGCTTGGGGGATCAAATCCTACCTCCGTGTGTTTCCCCCATGCTTCGGGGGTACTCCAGTCTCCTCCCCCAGTCCAAAGACTGGGGTGCTGATTGGACTTTCCAAATTTGCCTGTACTGAGTGAACGTGTGTGTTGCTGTTTCCTGTGATAGGTTGACTCGCTGTCCAGGGTGTGCCCTGCCTTGTGCCCTGAATTCCCTGTGATAGACTCCTGTGTGTAGGAAAAGTGGATTTTAATAGACACACTTAATCAATTAAAGAGATTCACCGTTGCGAAAGGATACAGCTAAATATTTTGAGTTCATTATCATCATTAATTACCGAACTGGATTTTTGTCAATCTTGGGGGTAATTTATAGTCCACTGTACGTTAAATGCACGACAGGACGGAACCTAGCCGCCAATTATGCAAGCTAAATCTCAGCATTGTAACGGAAATGGGGCTGGACCTGCACAGATATTTACCTGTTGGAGCTTACGTCCAACATCTTCACCAATTACCGTAGCTATTCTGAGGTTACTGATTGCATTGTCCTAAAACTGTGATTTTCAGATGACACACCATCACTAGAACTCATACTCAAATGAATGAATGGGTCCTTCATGTTTGTGTACAATTTTCTGTTGAACCTTGCTGTACATCCATTATGGTTTTCCATTTCATTTGTGATGAGTTGAACATACATCAGAAGTAAGCTAAAGCTTTGGCGCTACCAGGAGTGGGGTTCGAACCCACGTGAACATTCATCCATTGGATCTTAAGTCCAACGCCTTAACCACTCGGCCATCCTGGTCTTGTAAATTGGAAATTCCATACAAAAATGGAAGGGTCATTGTGATTACAGAGCTACTGCTTTACAGTACATTAGGAAGTTCTCTGAGGGCTTCCTTCAATGAATAGTTGTCACTTGTTTGAATTTGCTTAATGGTTTCAATGCAATTCCTGAGGGTTTCCATTAGGAATTTTCCATGTACACCAGAACTCAGCAAAAACTCTTCAAAGGAATGGGGGTCAAACCCATGAGGATATTCATCCAGAGTTGCAGAGTAAGTTTTGAGTTGCCAAAACCAAACAAATCCAACACAGGTTAATTAAGATGAACAGGTTTCATGACACTGGTTATCAACTTTCTCAGTCAGGCCAGGTTTTAACTCTCTATCAAGGTTTAGTCAGTGTGCGTGTGCATATAAAAGCCTAATGTTCGCAGCAAACAACCAATAGCGTTCAACATGGAAAAGCAGGTGTGCTTCGGTTGAAGAGGAACTTCCGAATCCTGGTCAGAAGCACAGTGATTCCAGAGTTACGCCTGTTTTACTTTAGCACCATATTACAGCTTCTTTCAAGGAATGGCTCTCACTTGTTTGGATTTGCTGTAAGAATCTTCCAGTTACTCCAGAATTCAGCTAAAGCTCTTACCAGGAATGGGATTCGAACCCACAAGGACATTCATCCATTGGATCTTAAAGCCAACGCCTTAACCACTCGGCCATCCTGGTTCGTAAAGACTCGCTAAGTCCTCTAACTTAATCTGATCTCTTCTTATCACAGTGTATTCAGTCAAGTTTCTAGCCTATGATAAAATGTACATCATTGGTCTTCATACAAAAATGTAATCTTGAGAAAAACCATGTTGTCTATAGTCAGCTTAGGATAAAATAAATCTAATCATGTCAGTAGTACAAGAAGCTATTGTTGCATTTATTACATTATTATTACTATATGTAATTTATTACATAGTACTGCAGTTGTTCTTGTCTGGTACGTATGTTTGAGCTGTATCATCTCTAAATTTGCATGCAGAATACACACACACACACACACACACACACACACACATATATATATAAACAAAAAGGTAGCAACCCTCTTTCCTCTTATGCAAAGAGTTTCACACTTTTCGAACTTTCACACTTTTAAATGATGATGTCACAGTAAAGGTGATCATTTCTTATAGGGTCACCACCTTTTGGTTATTATTTAGGCTACTGCATGTCTTATGTTCCCAAGGTGGCAGAACTTATCTCAACATATTCTATAAATAGTCAGGGAACAGTGTAGGAGGGTGGAGAGTGGATAAACCAACACACCACATCTGTTTCCTACTTTGTTGAAAGACATCCTCCTTCTCCGTCTCCGTACCTCCCTGGCAAACGTGTTCCTCAGGTTTGTAGCCAGGAGCGAAACAGCTGTTGTTTTCTACCCGACTGCGTCTCATCAGCCTTCTCTGGCCTCCGTACTCGCTGTCCTCCATTCTTTCGGGCTACTTCTGTCTTTATTTACTTTCTGTTTTGTTTCTTTACGCAAGTCTTCAGTAATCACATGTTAAATTAGCCCTGGTTCATCTTATTCATTGCTGTAGAAATACGTACACCCTTATATTTATCGCACAGAAATGCAAGGATGAGCAGTAATATACGAGCATATGGAAAAACAAGAGCATATAGTCCATTAAAAGTGTATTATACAGTGTGTAGTTCTAACGTGAATGAAAGATAAAATAAATGGTGGTGTGCTGTTACAGGGAAATAATCAACAGCAGTGTGTTCCCATGTGTTACCACCCGGAAGTTGATTCTTCTCCTGTAACAGCAAATCACAAAGTGTTTTATTCCTCTCACGCCGCAGCAATTTGCTGAAAAGGACATTTACCAAAAAAAAATTCGTTATAGAATGACATAATTTTTATGCATTTATAGTAACATTTAACATTGTGGAACTTCTACAAAATCCTGCACTTTTTTTTTAATTCTATTTCGGCTCGTCCTTGTTACTGTACAATTCGTTACTATAGAAACGATAACGTATTACAACCAGACCTGACCAGTAGAATCGAGGATTCAAGAGTGCTATAATTTGATCAGTTCTTTACTTTTTAGTCGTAGAAAGTTCACATTAATTTCGTTATCGGCTGAGACCAGGTTCGACACGCACATATACGTACATACACAAACATACACACCTTCCCATGTAACGCAGCTCATCTAAACCACTCTTCGTTCAGATTATGGCCTGTAATATTTTATTATTGTATTAAAAATCAGGAGGGGTGATGCCAAAGAGTGACCTTCTGCTGGAAAAGAAATGATCAGGCACCTGGTGCATTTCGTATCATTTTAATAGGAGGCATCGTGCCAAGTCGCTTTGTTGTATGAATTCTAATGACTTTACAAGGAGGAAGATGAAGGGACTTTTTAGTTTCTAACAAGCAACGTGAAGCTTTCAACGTACCAGGCGCTATCACATCAGTCACTCTGGATAAAGGTGGCCGCAAAACAAAACAAAACAAAACCAAGCAAAACCAAATGCAGATTGCGATCATTTGGTTCTCATATCGAATCTGATCCGATAGAATCGTCTACTCATCTCAGGACTCTTATTCAGAACATAGGCATACTGAAAATCTTTTTGACACACTGACTTTCCATTATACATTTGTAGAAAAGTCATGATTTATCATCTGGCGTGACTCAGAAGAAAACGGGTCTCTGTTTGACTCCTGGTTCTCCACGAGGTTTCTTCCTCGTGTCGTCTCACGGAGTTTTTCCTCATCACGCCCGCCTCTGGTTTGATTATTACAGATCTACTGTATGTGTACATCCGGATTTCTGTAAAACTGCTTTGTGTTCATGTTTATTGTTAAATCTACTGTAGATGTAAATAAAATCGCAGAAAATATTAGTCAATCAAATCTGTCTATTTCAAACATGTGCTTAAAGAAAGGTTTTTATTTTTATTGCCAAGACGTAGTAAACCAATCATGTTAAGAAAATTAATACTATCATACTAAGATAATGTTGTGTTGTTAAACCGTTTACTCTACGTTGTATGGCGTTGCCGTATGGCATCAATATATTTATCTCAATTTTTTGATAGGAAATTTTAAAAAGCTGCTATTTTCCTGTGTGATTGGGAAAAGGGGTGCTTTAGCTTTGATATAACAAATAAAATGCCATGTCACATGATGAGGAAGCACTGTTTCCTCTTCCTTTTCTGTGTGGCATGGTGAAGATCATCATCGGTTGTCTCTCAAAATGGGATACATTTTTCAATATAGAGGCAAAACTACTTAAAGGGGGTAAAATTAAACACTAACTGAGATAAGTTAGTATTTTTTTGTGTCATTTAAACAAGTTTATATGTCTTGAATGTTCTGTTAAATGGTAAAGAGTAATTGTTGCCATATGGCAACAACATGCGATAACGGAACTGTAGTATGTGCATTCATGAATTGAAACAGGCCTACACAGCAAAATAAATAAATAAATAAATGAATGAATAAGCTTCTCTAATAGTATTTTTTATGTTTTTCACATTCACAGTAAGGAAAACTGGTCAATTCAGACATTTTGCACCTTATGTTCAAAATTTTATGTTTTAAGAGAAAGAATTAAAAAGATATTTCAACCCAAACATGTTTGGATCTAATTTGCGTATGTATTTTGAGTGAATTAATCCATGCACATAATTTTTTACAACTGTACTTCCATTCGAGAAGATTTTACATGCTTACTAGGTGGCAAAAAAAAGAAAAAAAAAAAAGAAAAAAAAAGAAAAGAAACTTATAATTTATAGTCTGGAAAATGGCGTAATAGGAATTTTAATCTCATACATTTTGTATTATTTCTGACTATATGATACGTTCCACCATCGCTCATTGTTGCCATACGCCAACAATTTACTACCTATAATTTTTTCCCAATTTTTAAAACTTGAATTAATTCATTAAAATCATTTTTTAATGTAAATGTAATAATTTGTGCATTAGACAGTTAAATATTTAGTTTATATTTGGTTTTGTGTTTAAAAACAATTATTGGGTAATTATTGGTAATTCACCAATCAGCGTGGCAGTAGCACAATCTATACAATCCTACAGATACATGTCAAGAGCTTCAGCTAAGGTTCACATCAAGCATCAGAATGTTGTTGTCACAAAAATGGGATCTCAGTGACTTTTCTGTTGGTGCCACACGGGCTGACTATTCGTTTTTCCAGAGAGTTTCACACACAACAACACAAACATCCAGTGAGCGGGGCAGAAATGCCTTCCTGCTCAGAGAGGTCATTGGCTAGACTGGTCTGAGCTAGCGTGAAGCCTACGGTAACTCAAGAAATCTCTCTTTATATCCGCGATGAGCAGAAAATCATCTCAGAGCGTCGAGGCAGGAATCTGAGGCCACACTGGGCACTGAAACAAGACCAGACAATTTATTTTCCAAATGGAATATAAGTGAGAAAGATATCAAGAAATAAAATATTAACCTACAGTATCTTATCATATTTTTAAGCCTCTTGTATGCAAAAAAAAAAATATGAATCATTTTAACAAATAATTATTAGTGCAGATGCTTCAGGCAGACTTTTTTTTTCTTTCGTTTTGACTCTAAAACTTGCCTCAGTTGCTTTTTAAGGAAGTCAGTTTTTATACGATTATAAAAATCTGTGCTATTTTACAACACGGATGGTATAAAAGTGTTGGTGTAAAACCGCGGTGAAATGTATAATAAATATACCAGCTGTTCCTTCAGTCTTCCAGTCTTCGATAGTGGAATAATTAACACTTCATTGCACAACCTACAACACAGGAGTGGATTCAAACAGGAATTTTGGCAGCGATACAAAAAACACCTCAAGTCTCAAGAAGAAGCGTTTAACTCTGATTTTCGAAATATTATATTTATGTTTGGTTTTTTTTTTTTTTTTTTTAAAGATTATCTGGGTAAAAAAGGATAGGGAAAAAAATACGGTTTATTTCATTTAATTGACTTCTACAGCATACACCAGTTATTTGTAGGCGTCGCTAGAAGCCGATTTGAGTGGTGTAGTTTTATTAAAGGAATTTTAAGTGCCAGGTGTAGATTTAATTGAGTCAGATACACATCTGCTCGTCAAAGGATTTTGGTTTTAATCTCATCCTCATTACGGCTGTAGGCCCTCACGCTGTCGCTCAGTCTGTTTGTTTGTCTGTAGGTCTGTCTGTCTGTCTGTCTGTTATTGTGTGTGTCCTCTTGTGTGTTAGTATATTGTGTATTTAGCATTATCTTCTACATTGATAAATAATTAAAGGGTAAAAAAATTACCACTGGACGCACCATTGGACATGATCGTTTTTCATCTCTGCAATACATTTGAGTGATTGTTAGGGAAGACCGTACAGGTTATGCTTTTTCATGAGGTACTCAGTAGCCCTACGTTTGCAATAGCAAGAAACAAGCAACATTTAAAGTGAAACTTTCTCAGTTTAATGCAAATTAAACAACTGGCTCAAATGAATCTTCAGACCAATAATTTAGCAATGTCTGTCCAAAGTTTCGTCACTTCCCCATACACAACTATAGATCCAAGCTGCAGTTAGTTGAACTGTTATATTTGATGCAAAAAATAATTAGGGGTTCGAATCGGACTTGTTCTCAACACGATTCGGGGGTTTCCTCTGGGTACTCCGGTCTCCCCCCAGTCCAAAGACATGCGTTGTGGGCTGATTGATATTTCCAAAT